TTGTTTAAATAAATTGTTTATTAATTAAAGTAATTCTAAACTATTTGTCACTATTTATTATTATATAAAATATGAATTTAATTAATTGCTTTTACATTCTCGTTAATAAAGTTTTATTAACACTTATCTGCCCATGGTGACTGGCAGATCACACGGAGTCGCCACCTGCGCTATCTAGGTGATTAGAGCTCAAATAAATTTATATTGTTTAAATAAATTGTTTATTAATTAAAGTAATTCTAAACTATTTGTCAATATTTATTATTATATAAAATATGAATTTAATTAATTGCTTTTACATTCTTGTTAATAAAGTTTTATTAACACTTATCTGCCCATGGTGACCGGCAGATAACACCGAATTTGCCCCGGGCGTCCGGCTCCGTCTCCCGCACCGCCGGCTCCGTCGCCCGCACCGCCGGCTCCCATACGGCCCTATAGTGCACAGTAATCACCTCTCGGAACATACGCTGCAATAGTGGCCTGTCTTTTACGTACTGGTAGTTCAAGTCCGCAAACATGCCCTCAAAGAGCGGCTCTGTCTCCCACGATCTGAACACCTATCGCCGCCCATTAGCTAAGCTAATCTCGAATACCTCCGGATTACTCACGTAAGAGAGGTGTTGACTAAACGCGTCATAGTTAACGCTTGTGTAGAGATCTTAGCCCAAACCCTCTGTTCGGTGCGACGCCCGAAGTCCCGCCAAAGCGTTGGTTCTCTCCAACCATCGACCCGTCCAACCCCTCCCCCTTTCTTTCACTCTAAAGTCCATGTCTTCCCATTCCATCGCCATTTTGCTGGTCTGCTGTGAATCTGAGATCAAATTCTTGAGCTATAAGTGCCTACAGTTCTGTGTGTCTTGTATTAGGATTTGAGTTTTTTTGCGTAATAATTAGATTTGATATTTTGTACAATTTTGAGGTTTTTGTTACATTGTTATTGATTTGCTTTTTTAAATTGTTTTTTGTGTTTTCTAAGTATTTATAATAATAGTATGTATTTGTATTTAATATAATACATGATTATTTTTTTAGAATATAATTCTTAGTCGTACAAACTGATGTTAAAACTCTTTTATGACATTAAACTTAAGCATTAAAAAATGTATTTCAACTTATTGAAAAACACTCATTTTTGTGATTTTTATATCAAATGCCAGCAAATACTATAAATGAGTTTTTAACATTATTTTCAACGGCTAAGAATTGTATTCTAGAATAATAATCACATAAAAACATGTTATAAAAGTGTTTCCATTGTTATCTAACATTAAGATATAATAACATTAAGTAAAACATCTAAATCTTTACAAAACTTAATTATGAATGAATGCATTGTTTAAAAATTATATTATAATTTCAATTGTTATAATTTTTGTGTGAATTGCCATTGTCTATCAATTAAATTCATTAAATTTACAATTACTTAAAATTAAACAATTCAAGCAAATGTCTGCATTCAATGATTGGGCGTTTTGATGTAATAGTTACCACAAAAAAATGTATCAAAGTACTGAAATGTGGACCTGGCAACATTATGAATAACTGTTTCTTTGCAGCGATTCATATGGTATTGAATCTATTTGTCGAGAAATTGCTTTAAAAGTTGTTTTTCCCGAGCGATAAAGTGATTGTCTTTTAGGGCCAAAGGAACCAATTGTGGGTATTGTTGAAAGCCATTCAATACGGTATCCATTCGGAATATTTTCACAATAATCTAAACATTTTCCGATATATTTATTTGTATTGCATTTTACTGTAATTTTATTAACATTTTTGATACAAAAAATTTCGTTTTGTTTGAAATCCAAATCAAATGCTGTGGTCAGATGTTTAATCTTAAAAACATTTATTACACATTTGATATAAACTATAAGTGAAAGTAAAAAGTTAACATTTTAATTAATTTGTGATTATATAAAAATTCAATGGTTTTAAAATAAATGCATAAAATCGATGAATTCATTAATTTATAAATAGAAATAAATAAACAGAAAATAATTAACTATTTTCTATAAACTTTAATAAAACTATGGTTTCAAATATAACCTAATTTTTTTGTTTGTCTTTCAGGCAAATACTTGACTCCCTGTGCCATCACTACTCTTACTGGCGATCCATTTGTCGATTGTAAACAAGCATTTGGCGCAACAAATAGTAGATCCGTTGGCACTGATAGCGGATTGTGTCCATCCGAGCGATGCCGGAGTCTAGACGTTTTGTGTGCCATAACAGCACCTGATACAGGCCGAGCAGCGCCGCGAGCGCCTGACGTCTGACCGCCAGCCGTAAGATCTCGATAGGTGGGCGGCGCTCTCGGCTCCCGACCCCAAAGATTCTTCAACTCTCGCATAAACCTATCGATCATATCTCTCGCGCCGCGAATGTTGACCACCAACTGAAGATGGCTGTCGTCGGCTGTGAAAGGGGTGACCGCTTCTCGCCGTCGACCCATCCGACCCCACCGGCCCACACCTGTGGGCGCCAATTGGCGCCGGTCGTCCGGCAACCCTTGTGCCCGGTTGTTCAGACTATGCTGAAGACCGTACGCGCATCTGATCCATAGATTGTGTTCTAACAGTTCGTTTGACTTTACATTTCGCCGCTGACTCTCCAGTTCCAGGATATACGCGTCGACCGCACCCGCGAACTGTTGCCAATACTGCGGTTCGATTCTCTGGTAGTCAACCTGAGGGGGAACGCGTGGTCCGGTTTCAATGGCGTCCCACACATCGTAGCCGGTGCTGGAGTCGAGCACCTGGCCCTCAGTCAGTCGCTCCCGGTTCTGAATATCGTTTAAAAGAGCTTTACGTTCGTCCAAATGCTGTTCCAACTGATCCGCCCATCGGTTCCATTGGGCTTTGTCTGAGGCGTCGGCCGTTGTGGACAACCACTTGAAAAACTCGGTCAACAATCGATTAGGTTAACATTTTGCGTTTGTAATAAAGTATTTTGCAGATAATTACAAATAAATGAGTAATTAAATTATTTAAAAATAAATATCACTAGAATTTCATTTAATTTACATTAATTGCAAACATCTAACCGAAAAGTGACCGACAGCTAAAAATTTTCTACAAACAGTGCCACCTAGGTGATATGGCTACCTCTAAAATACGACTAGGGTCAACTTTATAAGTTTGTAGTGAAATATATTTGTAATAATTGCATATAAATTATTAATTAACATATTGAAATACAAATAGTAATAGAATTTCATTTAATTGACATTTATTGGTAACATATAACCATGAAGTGACCGACAGCTGACGATTTTCTGCAAATAGCGTCACCTAGTTGATACATTGCCTTTTAGAAATAACTATGGTCAACATTGTATTTTTATAATCAAATATTTTTCCAAATATTTAAATATAAATTATTAAATAATGTATTGTAGTTCAAATATTAATAAGATTTACATTTATTACGAACATATAACCTAGAAGTGCCAGTTTATATGAAATTTTTTGTAAACTAACTTGTATTATTAAAATAGTATTATTATCGAGATGGCGTGGGTGGAAAAAAGAGTGTTACCTGTAGGTCACTTTGAGGCTATAAATTTGCAAAAGATTTTGATAAATTTAAATGTAATATTTAAAGTTACAGTTTATATGGAATTGTCTGCAAAATAAATTGTTTAAAAATTACAATAGTTGTATTATTAAAATAATATCATCCTCGAGATGGCGTGGGTGGAAAAAAGAGTGTTACCTGTAGGTCACTTTGAGACTATAAATTTGCAAAAGATTTTGATAATGGCCATAAATCGGCCCAGATATTTATATAATATTTGTTGTTAAGACTAATCTACACGTTCAACTAGATTAATCGATATATTTAGACAACGTCAAAAGTTACGATTTCCTTGTTAGATATTTGCATTTATGCTATTTTATTTAAATTAACGGTTATTGTCAAATGTTTAAATTTTTGAAAATTAATGAGTCTATAGTCAATGAACCAAAAATGCCTTGGTTTTGATTAGTTCCGGGGGTTTAGGGATCAGTAGTTTTGGTTGACTCCTCTTTTGTTAAACTTTTCTATCAATTCCTTTGTCTCCCAATACTTGTCCGCATAATTACCTACAAAATTAAACACATATTTAAATTATTATCTATTAATTAATTATTAAAATAATATTAAAACATATCTTTAACCCCTACCCCTTTCCACTCCTTGACATACCTGATTCAAAAATGGGTGCGTTATAGTCATAACTGGTGACCAGATTTGGGCCGCCATTCATGAACCCAAAGTTAGTGCCGCCGAAAAACATATAGAAATTGATGGATAAATTGGCGTTGAATACAACGTCAGTCACCTGTTGTACAATGTCTTTACGCTATAATAGGCGTGTTTGCCGCCCCATTCATCAAACCACCCTGGCCAAAACTCGGACACGTACAGAGGCTTATTGGGTTGCGCCTGACGGAGCTCGGTCAATAGTTTTAACGATCTGCTGTTGAAATTGATTGTTTCCAAAACATCTATCGTAGTATTTAATAAGACATCAATTTAGTGTTTTTACATGTTGGTAAACCTTCTCAAACAACTAAATAATACCCTAAACAATAGCATTACATACCCTTTTGTATGGTTTTGAGTGCCGTTAGGGGTGTCTCCTGGGAGTCGCAGTTTGTGAGCAACTCTTTGAAACTACTGTTGATAATAGTATTCCTCATGAGATCGAAGTATTGTCGGTCACCGGCGCTACGAATCCCCCCGAACTCGTTCTCAAACTGCAAGGCTATAATGGGTCCGCCCTTTTGGAACTGGAACTCATCGATGAGAGACAACACACGCTTGAAATAGGCCTCGACTGCCGTCAGGTATGGCCCGTAGTTAGTGTTGAGCCGCATGTGTGGGTCGCGTATGAGCCACGCGGGGAATCCTCCCAATTCCCACTCGGCGTCAATGTATGGCCCGATTCGGAACCACACAAACATATCGGCGTCTTTGACCGCCTGTAGGAATGCCCGCACATTACGGAAACCGGTCTCGAAGTCCCACTGACCCGGTGTGTCCTCGTGTAT